TCATGAAACGAAACGGCGATCCAAGGTCAGCCATCCTTTTCATGGGCTTTCCTTTCGTTCTTTCTTCCCAATAATGATACGAGAGCAGCGCAATGTAGTAGCAACAACAACATGAACAAGAACCAGAGAGAACAAGCAAGGGCCGGAAGAAGGGGACACTTCGTCGACCCATGCACCCCACAAAAGGGTTTCTCTCATGGTTCCAAGAACGCCATGAATCACGATGAGGAGGCCATATCATCAATTTAACCTCGCGCGCCTCTGGTTCTCAGATGTTGGCGGGTATACTGTACTGTACTGTAATAAGAGTAATAATGAGTGATTCGATGCGGGTCGGGTTTCTGATTGGAAAATGAGCGTTCCAAATGCTATATACAGTACTGTACAATGCAGTAATGTAAATACTGTCAAGAACTGTATTCCGTTACCCACGGAAACATTGTTGTATCCCGCACCAACAAGTATATTTTCAATATTTCTGAATGTAAATACTGTAGCTAAATTTCTTCCCTACGAGAGGCATCAACATAAAAAAAAATTTAGTTTTCCATTCTCCTCGGAATGTTGGAAAAGTGTTCAGCAAATCTCGAGCCATTTGTCTTAGATTCCCGGCTCCAGTGACTAACAGGAACGGGTTTTGAAAAGATAATTCAGGAGAAACCAGCATCTCCCCCTTTGCAGTGAATTTCTCCCTTTTCTGTTCTTCATCCTTCCAACTAGGGGTACCTGTTTTTCTCAGATATTTTTTCATCAAGCCAAAAATGCAATATAACAAACAAATGCCTTGCTTTAAGTATTAAGACTTCAATAACATTTCACAGCCTCCTCTGCTTGAACTGAACAAACCTAACCTAACCTAACTAACATAACTAACCTAACATAACCTTGTCAACCTATGCATAAATTAATGATAAACCCAAATTAACACCTTGAACTGAATATTGCACATAATATTGCTTTAATGCAATGCAGCAAGATTTTCTTTTAAACCTCATTGATGTCCCATACAAACAAAGGTTAAAATTCTGTTTAACCACTAGCTGTCGCATACCCCAGCGGATAAGCAGTCACAGGAACCAGTTGCCTGGTAGTCAGTGCCTCGGGCTAGCTTCTATTGTCCTGAGGTCAGGGCAGATCTATTTTCTTACAAGTGTCCTTAATTTAACTTAAATTACTGTCCACATGTTGAGGTCCTACTAATGTATAATTTGAATGGAAAGGGCACAGATGATGGGGAATACTGTAAAAAAATCAGGCACAAAACAAGGTGTTTTTGATCATGAATCAGAGTATTGAATTTACTCAAGTACCGCACGCACCTTTTTTCTTAAATTTCAGAAGAAAGAAAGGGGTGCTCGTCATAAGAGGGTACAAATTTCCAAAAAGTTTTAGGAAGTTAAGTGTGCATTATACTCAATTATAATGGAGAACTTTGGAAAAAATGTAAAAAGAAAACTTTTTTGCGATGAAAATTGATCAGATTTTTGTTCAATTCATTTCAAAAGTCAATTTTTTTAACATTTTTTTTCAAAATTTTGTGGTTTTAGATTCACTAAAAATTGGGGTACGTGTCTTAGTTGGGGATAAGATTTTAGCCAAATTTCCAACTGAAAACCCCCTCTGCGTGCCTTACTTGAGGGTGCGTGGTACTTGAGCAAAAATACAGTAATTTGGTAAAGACCATTGAGTAAGCATGAAATGAAGAGCGTACCAGCTAGTGGATAATTTATTGCCCAGTTTCAACAGCTCATATATTGCAGTGGCTGCATTGTTATAAACAGCCCTGAATACTGGACATACATGTCGCCCTTCACCCCCTTCCCTGGTTTCAATCACTTTCATTACTGTATTAGGGCTTCCTGCAGCCCATCTGGTCCGAATCAAGCCTGAATCAAAGTCCGTCTCGGCCTTGAGGCAGCAGGTAGTCGAGCCGACGTCGGACGCCATCAGCATCTACTCTACACTGAATACTGTACTGTACAGTACATGTAGGAGTAGAATCAACGACGCCTTTGTCGACGACTAATAATAATACTGTAATTATAAGGACACAACACGTTCGCAATGGAGAGAAAGAAAGAAAGAACGAACGAAAATGTAAAAAAAAGTATTCATAAAACGAGCCCCAGTCTGCGAGAGTTTTCCAGACAATAACTCGCAACATTGCATGAGTGGACGTCGAACATCCTCAGCAAGTTCTTCCCTTCAAGTAAAGAATTCCCAGTGCAGTACTGTACTGCATTCCATAGTTTTCTTTCTAGAGACTCCGCTGTGACTGATTGAGGGTAAAAGGGATGATCAGCAGGATTTAGACTTTCACACCGTAATTACTGAGGTAAAGTAGAGCGAAATTGCTTTACTGAATTCGTTGCTTCACATCTCTAGGAACTTTTCCGCAATACTGTACCCGTAATCATTGCAAAGCATAATGCAGTATAGAAAGGCTGCTGTGAAATCATGGGGGAAACCTGGGATTTAGTGTCATCATTTGTCCTGGTACATTTTGAGGCACTAAATCAAGGGCATTGCATCAAAAAAAGTTATACTGTAGTTGAGTGCTTTTACTGAAGGCAAAATAATAAGCTTGCTTGCAGAAGTGCCAGACCATTCCCGATACTGTACAGTACAGTATTGTATTTCCCTTTAAAAGAGAAAGCCGCGATATGAAATAACTCGAGGTTTGAATTCATTGTTTTTCTGCTGCAGTATATACAGTACAGTATTTCAAGTTTAAGACGGGCTCCGACATGAGGATGCCTTGACATACAAAAGATTCGATTTGGCTCAGGGACACGTAAACTAAAAGGGGGGAGAGAAAATCTGCCGTGACATTCAGACAATGTCTCAACATACGGGCACTTGTCAACATTTTCTATTAAAAAAGTTAATTTTTAAAAATTTTGATATCTCTTCAAAAATTTTAGCTTTTTTAAAAACAGCAGTAGTACTCATAACAATTGCAGATAAATTTATCACTGTGTATTTCATAATCGAAATAGGCTCATTTTTTGCGTATTCTTTCAAAGTTCTTTCAATCATCCGAACGCAGTAAAAGAAAACATTTGCTTGTTATTTTCTTTGTACATTATGCTCATTTTCACGCCAAACGATTATTTTCTTCATAGTTTGCTTCTGCACCGCTATTTTCTGGATCTTGAAGATTAAACCTTATTTTATTCAATTATCTAGGCAAGTTTTCTAAAGTGTTGATCAAGAATAGAACCAATTGTACATCTTTCCATTCAAGTCCACGGGAAACCCTGATTCGAAATGCGGACGTATCGGGACATATCGAGATAAAGTCCAAGCACCCATGATGTCCGCAACTCGGAGCCCCAACTGAGCTCTGTATACAGCCTTCTCATTCCTCCCAGCAGTCTCACGAATTAACTGCAGCGGGATACATGCAGACAATGCTGCCTTTTTCATCAAGTCTTGCTGCACTTTCAACAGGAGAGGAAACCAAGAAACAAACTAACTAACTAAGAAAGAGGAATAAATAAACAAAAACTACGCACATTTAGCTCCCACGTCATCTGTCAATCAATCCATTAGTTGAGGCACAAAAAAAACACACATTCCGTATATATACCCGTGGCTTCATGAGACCCTTGAATAAAAACGTGGGGTTGGACTAGAGAGAGCACAAAAAAGAAAGAACAAATGAGAGCATGGTCGAAGCCAAGGTCAGCGAATAAGACAGTGAATGTTGACCCAGGTCGTAACCAGGCCAGACTCATCCCGCGTCACGCCTCACGGGTCAGCTTTTCTACTCGACACTATACAGCCAATGACGAGAGCCGTGTCGTGCCAATGAATGACGTAAACCACCCACGACCCACGAAAAAAAACCCCGGCATATCTCGTATGTAGCCCTATGCATGCTGATTACATTCTGCACTTTCAGAACAGTAGAAGAAAGCGTCAGTCACTCGTTTCGTCGTACCCACCCCGTAACGACGATGACGACAACTGACATTTATATGACGGTAACACGTCAAATAAAAAGAGGGGGAAAAACTCTAGTATGGTAAACGCCGTGTCAGAGTAGTACAACTCCGTGAGTACTAAATTGATCCGGTACGCTATCCGATGATGCACCCGAATTCAACAGACTGCGATCATTCGAATTCGATAATTTTCAATTTTCGAAATATGATACACGAATTTAGAATAGAAACTAGCGTATAAAGTAATACTGTAGATTGAGGACCGAGAAGAAGGAGAAGAACCAGCAGCAGTGGAATATGAACACGGGTTATTAGATTAGGAATACGAAAATGAGCGCATTCACTCAATATAATATAACCTGCAGTCATTGAATACAGTAACATCTTTGTTTCTGTTTTTTTTTTACATCGAATACCCATTTACAACAATTTTTCCTCAAGTCCTGGCAGAAAACGCAGAGTGAATGTTGAAACAATCTTCTTATTTTTTGTACGATGACAAACTTTCCAGTTTCAACATAAAACATTTCTCGAAGCATGTCAGACAGATCCTCCGAATAAGGCTGACAAGGGATCAGACATTTCTGATCCCAAATGTGACTGAATGCATGGAAGCTTCAATCAATGATAAACAGGCTTCCAAGGCATTTTTAAAATACTTCTTTATCGTCCTCCTAGAATTAAGAGACTGATGCACCTGATGAAATGCACGATTGAAGGTAGTTTCCTTCTTCTTCTTCAGAAGATCAGTCATTTAAAAAATAATAATGATGGAAATAAACTCTCAGAGAGTGCTAGAAAAGCAAGATCCAATCGATCATAGACCGATGTTCTGACTTGAAAATAGTTTCCAGTCATTAATCTTGAAAGTGTCGTCATAACAAATTATCCAGTGCAAGAAACTTTTCCTGAAAGTACCCCCACAAGTTTGTTGCAACCATCAGTCACTGCAGATATATATATATATAAGTTCCACGAGTATTCAAGTCCCTATACAGTAGTCTATACCGTGGTCCCTTTTTCCAAGTGGGCTGAAGACACAGGTTGTTTTCAGTTCAGGGTCGGGGGACACTGGCATTCAGTTTCGCGACGGATGTGACGTCGTCGCATTCGTGACGGACAGACAGACAGACAGGCATAGAGAGACGTGATGTCAACCGAGGAAATAAGAGTCTTTTAAAACCAACGCACTAAACCAAGAGTGCTGTTGACGGTGTCGTCGGATGTCTGAGACAGTCATCATCAGGCATGCAGGTATATGGAGTAGAGATGACCGACGACAACAATAGTAACCACAACAACAGACGAAGGAGTGAAGAGAAAAGAAGAAGAAGAAGAAGGAGGAGGTGGGCACGAGAGAGAGAGAGAGAAAGAAACAGACAACAACCGACCTTGAACTGGGTCCAAAACGAGGTCGGCCATTTCGGCACGTCAGCGCCTTGGTCCTGCTGGCCGGTCGATGACGTCGTCGTCGTCGTCGTCGTCGACAGTTTAGTCGATGTCGGTCTCGACTGCTGCTGCTGCTGGCCCTGCTTGCCTGCTGCACTGTTCGTAGTCAGCCCGGGCAACAGGAGGCCCACGCCGGCGTCGACGAGTTGGCGACGGTGATGAGGGTCGTGGTCGTCGTGGTCGTGGTCGTGGTGGTGGTGGTGTTGGTCCTCGTCGTGCCCCATGAGGTCCACGACGACGACGGGATCCAGGTCGTGGTTCTGCTGATGGGCGTCCAGGTCCATGTCCAGCCCATCCGGGTTCCGTCGCTCGTCGCAACACGAGCACGTGCTCTTGCACTCGTCGCTCCAACTCGACCGTCCGCTGTCCTCCTCGTCTTGCGAGCCTGCTGCATCAGACGGTCGACACCCAATCGAATGAGTCGAATTCCTTTTTCTTTCTTTCTTTCATTTATTCATTCATTCATCCATTCAATCAATCAATGAGCCATCTATCCATCCATCCAATTTATTCAGTCTATCTTTCCTTCATTTGTAATCAATCCATGTGTGTGGGCTTTATTTTTTTTAATTCTTTGCCCAACTATACGGTTCTGCTGTGTACTGTACCATCATTTCAGGGATAAAAAAAAAAGAAAGAAGAAGAAAGCATGATTGAATGCACAATAGTGCATGTGAAATATACCGCGTGTACAGCTCAAAACACTTTACTGTGCTGTACGGTATAATGCGTGGTCTGCCGGTGGTCAATGATCGATAGGCAGCAGATCCAGGGACATTTCTTAATTTTTCGCTTCATCTTTTTTTTTTCAAACTGCATGTGGCATAGTTTAGTAATGTACATTGCACAAATTCAACGAAACCCGGCCTTCGTTTTTCCGCTGAAGAGACAAAGTTATAATAAAACAGCTGAGAAACCCTAGAAAGCCAATGCTATTGCTACGATTACTATATTGAACGTTCCATTTTTTAAACCCCACTCTTAAAATTTGAGCAAAATTGCATTGAAGTTCAATATGGTAGATATGCACTGCGACCCCAAGCTGCGGACGTGATTCTTTCAGAGTGTCCGCATATCGGATCATGTTTTCCGAAAGACTTTCAATTGGTTATCTTGCTGCTGCTCAACAAAAATTACTACAGGGATCAAATACCGAGAAAATTTAAAACAATTTTTTTTCTAAACTTAAAAATGCGGAAAACTGGGCAGAATCCGATATTTTGGTATCAGAAGGGAATCAAGGAGCTAAAAAAAAAAAAAAAAAAAAAACTGAAAAAAAAAAACAAAAAAATATCATATATTGGTAAAAAAAGGGAAAAAAAGAAAAAAAAAAAAAAAAAAAAAAAAAAACTGAGAAAAATCGGCAAAAAATTATCCTATCTTTAATCATGAATTTGAGTACTTTTGTAATGAAATTTATTTTCAATTTTTTTGACTAGAAATACTGCAAATCAATTAATTCAAGGGGAATAGAAATTTAGAAAAATGATAATTCCACAAATGCTGAAAAAGTGTCAGTATCTCAAGACATTGTAAAGATGTCTCGGCAGTTTTTTTTTGTTTTTGTTTTTTTCATCACTGTAGTTTCAAGTGTCCCTATAGGTCAAATCGTCCCCACATCTGGGTGTCCGTTTGTCATCGGTACTGGTCTCCTCTAAATTGAACGGACTTTTCGTAATGCGCAGTTTACCTCTCATGAAAAGAGGAGCACATCACAGAGAAAATAAAAAAGTAATCATTGATTGATCAATAGCACCGAAAAGGGACCATTTATCAAAACAGCAAGCATCTAAATAAATCTTGCCATGTACTCTATCATGTTTGCATTAGTTCCGTCGGATATATAAGGAGGTGCCATCTATAACACGATTTTTCCCTCGCTTTTTTTTTTCACCAGTACTGCACAGTACTGGTTATTTCTAGATGTGCGCCTGTGCTATTTCCATCCGAACTCGCGCTCTTCCGTCATGATTCACTTGAAGGACAAAACCAACAGCAAAAAATAAAATAAATAAAATAGTAAATTCGAGAATAAAGCGCATCTGATTTAGAGCCGCCTCATTGCGACTCATCGATCTTCATAATCAATAAAAGAAGAAGAAGAAGAAGAGATTCAGTAATTGTGTAAGGATGCAGAAAAAGAAAGAAAAAAAAAACCTAACCGGCTTCGAAGCGCTTCGTCGGGTCCAGCAGGGCTCGGAGCTCGACGTGCGGGTCCATCTGATGGAAGTGCACCACGGCATCCGAAGAGGCCTTGTTCGGGTGGCGCCGGTGAGGGTGATGATGGTGGTGGTGACTGTGACTGCTGTGGTGGTGGTGGTGGTGGTGGTGGTGGTGATTCTGATGAGGATGGCGGTCATCGTCGTGGTCGTGGTTGTGATGGTCGTCGTCGTCCTCGTCCAGACTGCCGACACGGAACCCCGTGCGTCCGTCATCCAGCAGCACGGCGTCCCGGGACGCCACCGACTTGCCTCCGGGCAACACGTGGCGCTCGTCTCCATGCAGGAGGCTCCAGTTGGACTCGTGCTCCTCGCTCTTGGACCACTCGGACAGGCCTGCAATAACCACCAAGACGAGAAATAAACCGGGGGGGTCATTGTCTGCAAATCAATATACAGTACTTCGCTGCACAAAAGCTTTCATTCCTACTACTGCATCATCCAACATCCCCTTATTAATACATGATACTGTAGCTATTTTGGCAAATTCATAGCACGTCAGTAAAAAAAAATCATACAATTTTCAAGGGCGTCTAAGTGGTGTAACTCCTGCAGCATAAATGCATTAGTTTGTGCATCACCAGATCACCTTCTCTTCTTATGTACAGCATTTCAAACTGATAGAAACAAGCTTAAGAAAGATTTACAAGTATTGGAATTCAACAAAGGGACCCTTTCTGAAATCTTGAAGGATCAAGGTAAACTGTTGGCCTTATATGATTTCTCATCAAAGATTCTTTCTAAATTGTTCATTCAACTAAACCTCATACAGAAACAAACTGAAGACCTTGTGCTTTAAATCAATTGTTACTGATATTTTAGGAGCGAATGGATGTATGCATACATGTCAGATGTCCAGTTGTATTTTGTGGATTGTATTTCATTCTATTTTTTGTCAGCAATTTGTTCTCTGTTTCCTGCTCTGAAGTGATTAAATGTCGTTGACTGGATTTGGGTTGGGTGGGAAGGGGGGTTTGGTTGTGGAAATCTTGAGTGAACCTTGTGAACGCTGAAAAGCGGCAAATAAAGTGTTCTGTTCATTCATTATCCAACTGTCCTTGCTCTAGCTGTGTACATTACATATTGGGCACATTGTGGAAACGTTGTACAGCATACTGTAAGTGTAGTAGAATCACCTGATCAAAGAGGCAACATTCGTCATCATTATGTCCCATTCAGGGTTACACTTCCAGATGTTTTTCATGTTTTCAATTTTTTTGAACACCGAATTCATTCTCTAAAAAAAATTTTATTGCTTCTTTGATTGAGTCCACTTTGTTCCGTATTTCTGCCATTATTGTATGATGTATGCATAAAATCGGCGCAAAAAAATGAATTATACTCACATGACAACTTGAAATGAGTTCATTATAAGGATATTTTTATATAACATGGTGCCCATGAAGAAACTGCTGGGACAAAATAAATAAAAAAAGATTGTAACAAACAATTCGTTTTATTGAGATTTGGTGCAATGGAAATGTACTACAGTACTGCATATTCTAACTGATCCCGCATCAAGCGGCTATAGGACTAAAATAATTCCAGCAGAAGACTTGGCATCCAAAGAAGTCCTATTAATGTACTTGGTTTAAATTTAACCCCTTTCAAGTGTGTCTGAAACTGATTGAAACCACAGGTGAAGCGGTGAAGAACACACAGTCCATTCATTCCCAGGTCGTCGTCCGTCCCTTTTTCAACAACCACAATAGAAGGACACGTCGTCGTTCTTCCGCGTCAATTGTGTTTCATAAGAGTGGGTGTGGTGTAGGTACTGAAATAATCGGCCGTGGTACAGTACACTACAGTACTTGGAAATGGAAGAGTGCGTCCCGAAGATAAGAGTTGTGCTAAACTTCCGCATTTAAACCCTGTATATATATATACAGTACAGTATTGTAGACCGAAATGCGACGCACGCCGTTTCGACTTTCTTTCCGGATGCACTTCCTGCACATACCCACTTTCGGACCCCGCCCATGAAATTCATTCGTGGTTTTTGACGACTCTCTTCTGTGCTGGATCCAGAGGGATTCACTTTCTCGCATTGGAAGAAAGTGCATTTGCTCAACAACAAAACTTGCTTAATTTGTCAGCATTCATTGAACAACTGCAAAAAAAGAAGAAAACCCAGTCCAGGCAGCAAAGAACCCGTGGACCTGGATTCCTTCATACCAAAACCCCCAATAATAGACTAGACTAGCAGTGTTCCCCAAAAAGCCGATTGACCGGCAAATTTCCTTGAATTTTTCTGATGAACATAAAATAAAATAAAATAAAATAAATATTGTTCGGACTGGAAAAGTTTCATACAATTTTCGCAGTGTAAAAACTTTTCTGGCTGACAGACTTTATGACAGATTTTTAAAAAGTTTTTGCTTTTTTTCAAAAATTAAGTCAAGAACCAACGAAGCAACCATTTTGGATTATCTTGAAAAATTAGAAACATGGGCTTGAAGAAAGGTTTCTGAGAATGAGAAATTAATATACTGGGCTGTAATTAATTCCAGCCGGTCTGGAAAGTTATCAGGAGAAAAACCAACCGTCATTCTTCAACAGATAACTTCGACTGGCATTGTGTTTCTGAAATTACAGACAAAGATAACAGACTCGATTGATAATTTTGAGAAATGTATCAAGCTGAAGAAAAATTTAGCGCGGACCGGCAAAAAAGCTCCTGCGGACGACGAGGGGTTGGGGAACCACATTGGGCTATAGAGAGTAGTACTCATAGCGTGATACACTTGTGCACAGTTGCACAGGACCGAATGCGGATCAGAATAAGGAAATCTCAGATGAAGAAACAACAACTGATACCAAGGAAAAGAGCATTATTCTTCAGTACAATAAAGAGTATTTCGAGAAGGACATCATGGAATTATAAAGGGTAAAGTATTCACAGGTACTGCTGCACTTGATCATGCAGTACAGTACTTTGGAAAAAAAAAGCCCGGGTTGACGATCTATACCTACTGTTTTCTTTTTTTTTTCAGTTTTTAGCCAGGGTCCCTCGTCCCGGAAACGCGGCGGGAAGACGTTGACCCCCTGCCTGCGATGTGATGAGGAGATTCAGTGCGGCGGCTCTTATTCATCCCTCGGCCAGGTACTTGTTGTTCGCTCCCTGCCAGCAGGTACTTATTCGGACACGGGGACAGGTACCTCCGCCTTCACCCGGGGAATAACGAGTCACGTACTTGCTGCGGCCGAAAAGGAAGGGAGCATCAAGCAGCAGTATACAGTACTCGCTCTCACGCACAAACACATGCGCGTCGTCGCTATTCTCGCGTCTCGTCGTTTCATTCATTCATTCATTCATTCATTTTTTTTTGCGCAAGTGATGAGAAAAGCGAGAGGGGCGGAGACATTTTCAGTTGCGTGCGAATAAAAGGGCCCTCTTATTTCTTTCTATAGTCTATACTCATCTACTGCGTCGCTGGCCGGCGGCTTTTTTCTTTTTATTTTTGCTATACAGTATATCAAGCAGTAAAATTCAGTTTCAATTCAGTTTCTTATTTTTAAACAGAAAATAAGTAAGCAAGTTAAGTTTAAGTTTTTTGATTGATTTCAGCAGTTTCACCATAGGTGACATGCTATAAAAATCTCATTTTGAGAAAATCATTCCAGTTTTTTAATCTTAGTACAGTAAAATGAATTTTTGGCAATGATTATGTGAATATATGTCGCAGCAGCAGAGAGCATTCGTTGAATGGCAAAAAAAAATGGAACAATTATTCAACAGTCGCAGCATTCCAACTTTATAAAAGACAAAACAAACTTCCAGTATATACTGTATATATAGAGAGTATAGTCAGTGTTCGAAACGTACTTACGTACACAAGAGACAACAGATTTCTCGGAAATTAATCGACATTTGATTGATATCACGAATCACCGCTTGGCAGGGAATTAAAGAGTTTGGGGAAATGCAATTCAGTCGAGGCCTGATTATGCACGTCAGCAGGCGTGAGAGAAATGGTCCCCGGGGGAGAATATGCAAATGTGGCAAAATATCCCAGGGCTTAGAGAGTCGGGCGGAAGTTTGCCCAAGGGAAAGGAAGTGAGAGAGAGAAATGCCGGAATTTTTACAACAGACTCATCGGCTTCTCCTTATATATATATTGAGAGACGGAGGAGGAAGGGATATTGCCGACATTCGGCCGCGCATTTTTATCGTCTCACGCACCGAATTCCGGATACAGTGCACAAAAAGCAGCAGAAATCACTTCCTTTTTTTGTTTCACTTTTGTTTTTCGTTTTGAAAGTTCTCCCCTCGTCGCCTTCCGCCCCCCCCCCCTCCTTCTTCTTCTTCTTCTGACCAGAGTTTCGCTTTCGTGGGAACTGAGACGTCAACGAACGCCTGCAAACTTTTTCCGCGACTGCGAATAACCAAAAGGGCCAAAAATACAGAAGAGGAAAAAAAAAAAAACACCCAGTCTGTTCCTTCCTCTCTCGATTCGATCCTTTTCCAATTACTGTACTGTACTGTAATTAGAAAATAATGACGGGTTTCTTTAGATCCATACACGGCCAAGTACTCGAACATACTGTACAGTACTGCACTGCTGTTAGACGTAGTCTTATTCATGAGATTCCGACCGAATCAGCATTTGATTGAGCGAGAATCGCTTAATCAAATGCAAAACAAATACAGTATCAACTCCAGCAGTAGCGGGATGATGAAATTACACAGAAGTGTACTTTACTCTACTGCAGTGTTCCCCAACCTTTTTGGGCCCACCGACTGACAAATTTCCAATAAAAATTTTTTTGCGGACTGGCAAATTCTCACAACATTTTCTGTGGACCCGCCAAATTTTTTAAAATTTTTGCAAACGCAAACAAGTTTCGCCAGGAATACTTCATGGCAGCAGGTATGGAAAATGTTTCTGCTTGTTTGCAAAATAAAAGCAGGTATAATGCATTGAATGTCTTCAAAAATGAGAAAGCTGGGCTTGAACAAAAGTTTCTCAGAATGAAATAATTCATTTCGTCAGGTGAAAATTTGTCCAAAGTGTTATTAGGAGAAAAGCCAAGTTTATTTATTTTTCATGAGATTGATTGAACTGCAATTGTCTTGCAAAATTGTTATGTCCTTCTTTGATATTTTTGATAAATGTATCATGCTTGAGAAAATTTTCTCCAGACCAGCAAAACATTTCTGAGGACCAGTGCTGGTTTGTGGACCATGGGTTGGGGAACCTATGCTCTGATGCACAGTAATGTATGAGGAAACCTAAAGAAGAATGACATATTGCATAAAATTGAAAATTATACTCTCTCTATGCAGAATGCAGACACGTACAGTTATTCTACTGTCGAAGAAATGCTGCTCGAAATGCGTTCTCTACGTGTTTACAGTATAGTAAAAACCCAACATCATGTACTGCATACAAATGGTGCCCTACAATTTGACCCTAATCCATTGCTGGACTAGGGTCAAATTGTGAAGCAGCCAAATTGCTAGACAATGTAAATTTTTTTAAAATTGTTATTAATGTTTTGCATCTCTATGCAGGTTAAATTTCGGGACAGAGTTTGAATATTGCAAGTTACGCTCCCAGGAAATTTGACCTTTCAATTTCAGGATGGGCAAATCAGGGGTGGTCAAATTGCAAGGTACCATACATACAGCACTTTTCCCAAAGAGTGGTAGTCAATTGATTGCTCCTCATGTTTTTTTTACAATAGTTTTGTAGCATTGCACATTGACTGCACAAGCTGAATAGGAAATTGGATCAACAAAACTATTTCCAGCCTGTCTTTGGATAAGTTGTGAAACTCTCCAGAAGACCTTATGTGTTTTAAAACTAAGCCACTAATAGTGCTTACATCCTCCGGTATTGCTTTGATGTATGATACTGTAGCTCTGTTAACAAAATTTGAAAAAAGTTTAAATTCTCATGAATTTGTGTATAAAATGTAGCATTCCAGGAGGACCAAAATGACCACTCTGATCAAAATGTACGAAATTCAGTTTTAAAATTCAGAAACGACAACTTTTTCTTTAGAGAAAGTGTGCTTGGAAGTATACTGCTTCATTTCAGGAAAAATAAACTTTTGATATGAAAAAATGATCTCATGCATGTATCTTATGCATGTACAGTACTGTATTGTATGTTTGCTTCAGGTTAAGATGAGTATAATTGCAGAAAATTCAAAAACGGCAAGGTTTAAAATTAAATGATTAAATTTCACATTTTGAAAATTCTGTAATGGTTATTCCACCAGAAAAGGTTGAAAATACTGTAGTGCGGAGTATTCTTGACAAATCTGTCGTGCTGGAAAAACTTGAGAGAGCATTTATCACATGATGTTTTCCGCAAAGTCTCAGCCCTGCTGCATGGCTCAATGAACCAATAATAAGATGAACCTCATTAGAGTCCTTTTTTTTTTTTTTTTTTTTTTTTTAGCACAAGTCCCTGACGTGTGTTCATTGTAACGAGTTTTGAACTGCACTGCAGAATTAATTCTAAATATGTCCTGCCCGACTCACCGTTGTTGATGTTCCTGAAGGCGACGACGCGCGGTCTGCCGCCGCAGGCGCACCGCTGTCCGTGTCTAATACTGGCGGCGGTTCTGCCCGCGAGTGCCGCCCTTTCTCCGCCGACGTCCATGCCGCCGCCGCCACCCCCGCCGCCTCCTCCTCCGGCGTCGAAGCACGAGCACCGCCTCTGCAGCCCGCCGTCGCTGGCCTCGCTCGCGTTGCGCGACCGTCCGGCGGCGGCGTCCTTCTGGCGGTGGCTCTTGGTCCTCGAGAACTGATTATGATGCTGGTGGTGGTGGTGGGTGTTGTGACTGGCGATGTGTTGGCGCGACGAGGGCGCGTACTGGGCGCAGTTGCGGTTGCAGCACGCCATCTTCCCGCCCGCTGCTGCAGCAGCCGCCACCAGCGTCTCCTCCACCTCGGACGACCCGCGGACCATGTCGACTGGGGGACCATGTCACAGCGAATATTGTATATATACACACACAGAAACACACACACGTAGAAACACACACACACACACATGCATACGCTCGTCATGTTTTCTTTGCGTTGCCCTTTGGGCGATATGATACGTACTGTACGCGGAATATTGAAGGGAAACAATACTGCGTTCGTCGATATTATACGGCGTGGAAAATGTTTCAGATAGAAATTGGCATAAACGAATACATACGGTAGGACAGTATTTTATTATTTCTTCAGCTCTTGGCTCGCGGTTTCCGGCAACTCAATTTAAAGAGGTAATTGCGATCAATATAAGGCCCTGAGCTTTTTTGGTTTTTCCGGATTTCCCGCTGGGACTTTTGCACCTACAGTAAAATGCCTTTACAACGAATTTTGCTTTGTAGCGATTTCTTTTCGTGGTCCCAGCGGCTTCTACTTACGAACAGTATTATTTACAACACGGTAATCTCCTTGTAACAATCTGATTTTATTTTAGTTGAAACCTCGGCGAGATGCTTTTTTTTTTGCATCTGATTTATGAATGAACCATAAAAGGATTAATCCATCATACTATCAGAAAGACGGAATTATTCAACGTTTTCATCATTAAGAGTTTAGCAAACAATCGAAGCTTTTCGAAAAGGAGACTTGATACAGTGCTGTATTGCGAAATACACAAGGCAGCATGTTTGTCTTGAAATTGATTTCGTTATTTCTTCGGAGAATTTTGCAACAGTTAAAAAAAAAGAACAGTAGTGCATGTCATCAAGAATAGATCTCTTATTCGAAAAAATCAAATGACTATACTTGGTGAAATCGCTTTTACTTCCGATACCTGGCTTAATTTTGTATACTTTTTGTAGAAAAAAATTAAATTATACTACAGTACAGTACAATATTTGAAGCAAGGCAGATTCGAAGTAAGAGGAGTTTACAGTATTAGAAAATTGTCCTTTTAATGTCATCGAACAGAAATAATAACTTCTTCAATATGTGTATTGCATAAGCGCTTTACAATGTTCATTACCCATTTCTCACGAAATTTCACCCATAAATGTTTTTAAAAATATGAACCTCGATTTAACGATATTTTCAATTTAACAAAATTTTAGTCAGGTTAATGGGAGTTGTCTGTAGCGAGAGGTTACTGTATTTAGCTGCGTGACACGGCACTGCATCTATTCTAATTTTTTTTACTGAAATATTAGAATAACTTGACCTTGCCAATTGACACTGAATCAACGGAAATATTGCGCAGCGTATATACAGTATTTGAAACGAAAACCAGTGTAATTAATTTGTCTTTTATTACAGTACAGTAGTTATTTATTTTGATTTTTGAAACAGGCGGGAGGAATGGCGTGAACTCACGGATGAAATCTGCAGGGTTGTAGTGAGGCGCGATGTGGAATCCGAGGCTCGTGAAGTGGTTCACAACCTGGCAAACGTCTCCGTAATAGGCGAGCTGCACAAACAGGACGGAAATAGAGAAATCCATCATCATACGTGAATTTGGAAAGAGAAAAAAAAAAAAACCATTTCTCCTCCCCCCGCCAAAAAAAAAAAAAAAACACGCGACAATCAATTCCTGCCCTACTTTCTCAATATTTGAACTACCCGCTTGAATTTCGACGAGGAAAATATTTTTTTTCATAATATCGCTCAGGCCTGATATTGATATGCCAAGCTAGAAGGGCCAGATTTCTCGTGTCGCCCCCGATTATTTGAGCTACTGTATTTCTTCGTAAACAGCAAGGTAATAAATACTGTACATGAATTGTTTCAATTAATTAATCGAAGCAAGGAAAATATGAAATATAAGCTGACGCTGTTCACGAGCACGTGCTACATCAGACCCTACTTTCAACGAATTCATTATTCCCGCCACGACCATTATTCTGCATCTTCGCCAGTTCATCACCAACAACAACAAAAAAAGGTTTTCAGATAGCACGAATAATTCAGATCAGCATTGGAACAAATTGAAAATCAAGTGTTTTGAAGAAAGAAAAGCATCGAAAAATGCGCACTTGTCTCAGTTCACTGCGCAAAAAAAAAAAAGTAAATGCTTACTTTTAGGAAATTGGGTCTCATTTATATACAGTATTTAAAAAGCAGCCTAAGGAGTGCAGACTGGATTTCGCACAAAATACCCGCACTACTGAATGATTTTTGCATTCGAATCCTGAACAAAAATTTGGTACTTCACAGACTCTAAAACTCAAGTTTACCGGAAAATGAATTTCTTTCCAAAAAATAAAATGCAAGCTCGAATCCAAAAACGAATTTCCCACCAGACATTAAAAGTGTCTTTTTTTACAGCCCTGTACATTTATTCCCTCTGCAGTTTTGGTTTTGTCTGGAATTGGCATCAGGTTTCTAACCCGATTACGAACCAACGAGTCGTCATTCTGATGGTGAAACAAGACATGCGGCCCCATGAAAGTAAACAATCCACTGATGGATTCTCTTTTACAGCACGAGTTTATATTCGGTATACAGTACCTATTCAAATAAAAACACAAACTTCCCTTTCAAACCTCACAAACAAATGCTGTCGGCTTGTCGACGTTTGACTATTACAAAGTTCGTCTGGATCAAGACTCGAGTTATTTCTTCATTTTGTCGGGGATTTTAAAAATGATTGTAAATGTCAACTCAATTTTCCCTGCTGATGCACACGCTCCCCTCGACGATTTGACGCACTGAACGAAAATACTGTAGTGTACAGTACAGTAACAACAGTACTTGCAGACAGTTGATAAATAATAAGAGTACAGTACAGTACTGTACCTCAACTCGGTTTCAAACTGTGTATGACTGACTACACGCAGTATTTCTATGTAAGTGAAACAAATGCGGAAGAAAAGGCACGGCTACAAAACACAGTAAACTACAGTAGTACTGTACAGCACGACATGCAAGTCTCCAGACGACTAATTATCCCGAGCAGAAAATTCGAGACACTAAATCTCCTCAGTACGGACCAACAGTTCACCTGTACTCGAACATCGTCGTGTCACGACGGGTACTTGGTGTAACATCGTCGGAATTCTTATACTCTGCAGCATAAAAGTACGAGAAAAGAACCGTGCTTCAAATAGATTCAACGGAGAATTTCGGGGAGGGGAGGGGGGAAGGAGTGTCGCAATTTTTCTTTTTTCTTTCCCCCTTTATGTACTCAAACAATCCCTGTCCCCGGCAACTGTGTATACAACGACATCGACGATAAAGTTTACTGACCCTGGCACCGGCGTCAACCCCGTCGAAAAACCCAGACTCCCTCGACGCAACTCGACACGCGACCCTCGCCGAAACACACACACACACACACAAACCTCGACAACCCGTTCCAATTACCCAAGGAATCAATTAATCATTGGGAACCCCGGAATACGGAATGGAGCATTTTCCAAGAATACAGTACAGTAAGAAACACGTCTTCCTCGTGACTCGAAAATAATCAATATGAAGCACACACACGAACAAAAACTTAGCCGCGAATCTTGATAAATCGTGTTAAACTCTCGCACGAAAAATTAAATACTGTATCCCGAAGTTTATTTATGGGATAATCCAGAAATTCACGTTCGTTCACGTGATTAATATATCATGAGATCATCGGCCCTCTTCCTTCCAACGAGGATGACCTCAAACAGGCATCCTTTGAAAAAGTAAATGCATACAATCGACAATGCAAATTTAAGCAGGCAATTTTTGCAATTACTGTATAAGAGAAATGCCGTCAGCAGAAATTTAAAAGTTGTGTCGCGGTATTTAAAAGCAATACATGAAAGATCCAAATTAGAGTGGTGATTCGGCCTACGTTTACAGCGCCGATTGTTTCCTCAAAAGCGTTGATCTCTCAAAACGCTCTGACTTGATGTGATGCCAGTAGCTGATTCATGAAATACCAGAGATGCCGGGGATCCTCGCGTCCGTTTGCAGGGTTGTAAATCCCACCGAACGTTTGTATATTTAGTAGAAGACAGGCGGATAGCTGATGTTGACCAGTGATGGAAAGAAGGGTGAACTGAGCTTTTACAGCTTTTCACATCAATTTATTCAGTTCCTTCACAATTTCAGGCATACAACGCCTTCCGTACAATTTTTACAAGTACGGGTTACAACAACTTATATTGAGGGGATGCTTCACGTCCCTGCCTGAAAATGCACAACATAACAAAAACGTCAGACACGGACACTTCAAATAAATCAGATTTCAACAATGGGATCCCAAACGCAAAATACAACATAAACGGGGATCACGGAAAACCAGCGAAGTTGAGAACAGGACAAATACAATACAAATTTCCATTCCCAAAAATTCACAAGTACAAAAATCACACTCGAGAAAATACAAGTCAAACCCCTTGGCGAGGCAGAGAGCAAATGATCCTTCCTAGCAGTCTCAGATACAAATTCGCAAGGGCGGCAAAAAAGGGGGAGCGCACATGTGCATGGGGGATACAATTACAACCCCTTTGGCGGCGCGCGCTTCCGTCCCCTTCCCAGGGTCGGGGACCCGGGAGATCGCTATCTTCCTTCAGAAAAAGGGATGCGCTTCCAAAAATACAACAATACCAGATGGCTGGCCAGATTTCGCGCCCTTGTAAAACCCTTTTCAAAGTCAAAACAACACGGCCTTCTTTGACACAGCATCCGGGACCATCTGGTCTCAAGAAAACACAAACCTTGGGAAAACAACTTCTCAATTTCCGGGCCAAACATAAAAGACCAAACAAAATGCCCAGGAAATTACTAGCAGATGTTTGCAGCTGGGTGACCAATTTTACTCTATAACAATTCTCAAATGCAAACTTTAATGCAAACCACCAAAAAACATTCAAACCAATTTCGGACCTAATTAAATTCAAATCAAAGTATACATCTGTTACGCCATCAAAAATCTTCAATAGGCGCAGATTGATTTGAGGAGCCTTTCTTCAGACCCAAATATCCGAAATTAATCCAATGTCAGGTGTCAAAACAAAATACATACAAATAACCAAACCTCGCAGACGAAATTCTGACCTCGCAGACGAAACACTAACCTCGCAGACGAAACCCTAACCTCGCAGACGAAACCCTAACCTCGCAGACGAAGTACTAACCTCGCAGACGAAACTCTGACCTCGCAGACGAAACACTAACCTCGCAGACAAAAGCCTAACCTCGCAGACAAAGTACTAACCTCGCAGACAAAACCCTAACCTCGCAGACGAAGCTCTAACCTCGCAGACGAAGCTCTAACCTCGCAGACGAAAGCCTAACCTCGCAGACGAAACTCTAACCTCGCAGACGAAGCTCTAACCTTGCAGACGAAGCTCTAACCTCGCAGACGAAGTAGACCTCGCAAACGAACTCAGGAGAGTCCCATAGCAGTTTCCAACAAATACACGTTGCCCTGTAAAATCTCGTTACAACGAACTCCCAGGGACTTGAGAAAAACGTAATATGATTTTTTTTTTTAAGTCCACAACGGGTATGTGAGGAATTGCCCAAAGTTCCTACTCCTGTTTATGAAGTAAAAGAGACAATAAAAATGTGAAATACAATTCTCTCATTTCTGACCATCCCTTTCTTGAATTTTCTGAAAGTATGCTGATCTTATAAAAGTATAAGTTGAAATACACGCGTAAGAAGATACTTTTTTGGATCAAAAACTACAGTAATGTATATGTGTGTTATTGCATGTAATACAGCAGTGTCCTTCCAAACACACTTTTCTTCCAAAAAAATTAGTCATTTCTAAATTCAAAGAACTACAGCTTCACACCGTCTGGAATGCTTCTTTTTCTACACAAAAACACGAGCATTTACCTATTTCGAAGGTTTTTTCCAGCAAGCACCCATTGCTGGGTTTCCCCATATATTGTGCTTCTAAAACATGGTAAACATTTCTATATGGGTCATGCTGAAAGCAGAAATTCTTTTTTCTATCGTACTGAGACAATAGACAAAACGTACTTCACTATACGTCAAATTTTTACACCGTCGTTCGCATAGAGAAATTGGCAGGACCGAGAACGGAAAATCGTTAACACGAGATTCGTCGTAACGGAATTTCACTGCATGTCATCATCGTATTGTGATGTAACGTAAAATAAAACCGTCGCCCCTGTAAAATGCCTGCTGTTTTATTTTTCCCTCCCTCCCTATCTCTCTTCCAATCTTTATTTATTTTTCAATAATGACCTGAGATGAGAAGAAAAGAAAGTTTACGTTCCGAATTTACTGACAGCGTATCACATTCGCAATAAATACGGGCAATATGACGCACGCACGCACAACAGGTTCGTCCCCCATTTGCAGCTCTACACTGCGATGACGCCTCCGGGCAACGAACCCTCGTCTCGGAAATTTAAAAGGGATGTTCAACATTGGACAAAGAACACGTGCCACTACGGGTCACCATCATGCAAGTGGCGGGGGGATAAAAGGGAAAAAGGTTCCCTGGCTATA